CCAGATTAGTGTTGCGTATGGATTCTTCATCGGCACGTGCGCTTCTCTTTAAACAAGGTGTATCCCGAGTACGGCACCTGGACACAAAACTTCTCTGGCTTCAAGATTACACAAAGAGGAAATTGCTTGAGCCAGCTGCTGTGAACACCCTTCACAACACATCTGATCTGGGAACCAAGCCGCTCTCAAGTAAACGCATTGCATTCTTGATGAACAAGATCGGCTTCAATGTGGAACTTGACGTTGTTCAGACAGTTAAAAGCAAGTCCCAAACAAAGTTGATTAAAAGGGTTCATTGCGCTGGTTGCTGTGATGATGGCGTTGCCAGAGACACACGCCTTGAGTCAGAATGCGCCGGGTGCAGACATCCGCATCAACGACTTCTACTTTGTAGTGTTGACTAGTCATCCTTGGGAGACCACGCTCGTTATCATCATTCTTGCATTCCTTGTGATTGCTGGCCTAGTGGTGTGTCATGTTTGTGGATTTGCGCCACGGACTAAAGATACAATCACCATGGAGAACGACGTTGGCTGCGCATCCTCTACATCCTCTACATCCCCTACGTCCTCAAGGGCATCTGCGAATCCTGAGCTTCTTGAAGGTGATGATGATGATGCAGGTGGAATCGGGAATCCTGAACTACATGAAGGTGACGATCATGCTGAAGGAGTTCAACATCATGGAGTACAAGAAGGTCATCCTCATCCTGGTGGACATGGTGATGGTGAACTACCTCAAGGACACGATGGACGTACGCCGCTCCATGAACGACGTCCGCATTTGCTGTGTTGCCCTCGGAGTGGAACCAGCTACCACACTCCTGGGTGTGGGAACTTGCGTGCATCCAACTTGGTGATCCCCTACACCTATGAGAGACATGTTCGGAATCCGCTAGCTCAATGCCAAGTGTGCAATCCTCCTCTACTTCCAGGCTCAGCTCCAGTTCGCGTGAGACGCCGAAATCGATGACTTCTGAGTTGTGCTGAGTCCCGAGGTTGAGCGTTGAAACCTGAAACCAACTTTGCCGAGTTGTTGTGAACTCGTTTTTCTCCTCTAAAGACGCTTTTTGAGGTGACTAGC